CAAATTAAAAAAAAAAAAAAAAAAAAAGAAAGAATAAAATTAAATAATTAACAAAAAACTATTGTAATTAAATGGATGAACTATATATATCACAAGAAATAATGATTTAACAATGTGATTATATCCACTAGCAAATTCTTTATCCCAATATAGATGAACTGAAATGAAATAAACCTTAATCAAGGAAGTTACCACGATGCACGCTCAAGTATTTACGACATTTACATTCACTCCAGTTATGATTGTGACTAAGGAAGAATCCACCTAAACTCTGCTGCAGAAGGAATAATGTATTTTCCTCCAAGCACCCGAGAGTGCGGTTAAATGAACAGGGAGTTCACAGGCAAACTACAATAGGAGGGGAAAACTGCCAAGAGACAGTGACACACTTCCCAGGGAGCAGGCTCAGGTGGACGTGCAGATCCCTAAAGGTACAGCAAGAACGGGAGAAGAAAAGTCAAAGAAGCAAGAATATCAGGAAAGCCTAACCTCTGGGATTTAACAGAAATAACGAACGCTCAAAGGTTATAGCCACAGTTAGAGGCAGAAACAGAAGACGAGAAGAAAATGGCTAACCTGGTTTAGGGCTCCTTACCTGAAAGCTGGGGGCTTTTATTCCCCAAGGAACTGCTACGACTGGATTTGCTTCCTTTGCTTTTAGTGGGACGCCTCCTTCTCCCTGAAAGGGGCGCAGCTGGGGGGATAATGACAGCAGGGGGGACCTTGCCCAGTTTGGTATACAAAGACTCGATTTCATGCTTCTGGCGACTCTGCAGGTCCTGAATCTCTTTAAGATGCCTATGAAAGATAACCAAATATAATTTAAGACATCACCCAAACAAGAATGAACAGCATATTCCTTCCCCCCACCTCTAACGCCTATTTTATTCATGTTAGAGAGCATGTGCACATGAAAGAGAGGGGTGGAGACACCGGCACTCTATGTTCTCAGGCAAACTGGAGGATCAGAGCCTGCGTCTGGCCCTGTGGCTCCCAGCACTGCAGCTGGGCTTGCTACCAACTGTGCTGCCGGGCTGGGCCAACTGCATATTTTAAAGTCTGCATTCAAGTACTACTCACCCATCAACATGTTCCCCAAATGTACTACCATGAGATTCTAGTTTGTCACAATTTTAACTTTTGCATATCACCTTTCCTTTAAAAGGAATGACATACCAATAATGAATGTAATGAAAAGAATATTACTATTGGCACCAGGAGCTAGGCCTAAATATAAATCTGCCATTATTCTTTCGTAGAAGATATACTTACTTTTCCCGTAGTCTTCGCAGCTCTAGCTTTAAGTCTTCATCCTCAATGTCAGACTCATTGTCACTACTCATGTAAGAGGAGTTGAATGAATTACTAAGGCTTTGACTTAGAGTCTGGATAGGAAGACTCTTTGAACACAGCTGAGGCGGGGAGTGTGGACTACCTGAACCCTCATCCATATCCCTACTCAGAAAGGCGGCCTCCAAGTCAGAAGATGGCCCATTCAGATGGGAAGGCTCACACAGTTCAGGCTTGTCTTTCTTTGGTATTGCAGCAGGAAGAACAGCTTGCTCCAAATCCGTAAGAGGGGGAGGTGCCACTGGCCCCTCTTTTTTTGCCTCAGCAATCTTGTCCTCAGTTCTTGATACAGAGAAACGACCCACTTTGTTTGCTGTAGTTGTCACCTGAATGCACCCAACTGTGGTAGGCTGTCCAGTGTCTGGCTTTGCCTCTGAGGCAGGAGCTTTGTGGGCACTGTCTGGCATGTCCAAAGAGATACGACGGATGGCTATCCCACTGGGCTCAGGCTGTACCAGGGTGCTCTCTGGGCTACTGCTTGATAACACCGAGGATTCAGAAGTGCTGGATTCAAAACGAACAGCCTTTGCATCTTCTGACTTATTTCTGCCTTGTTTTTGGGCATCATCCATTGCAACTGAAACCTTATGAAAAAAGAAAAAGTGAGACTAAAAGTCCCAATATTTAATTTCTAACAAGGACCATTAAAGGAAACAGTTCCATTATCTCTTGACTGTGAAAATGAATTAAATACATTAAATACTGTCATAAAGAACGTATATCTGCACTGAGATGCAGATTCTGAGAAGCTGGCTAAGCTTACTAAGAAAATTATTTACTTTCTTAAGTCATACATGGGATTCAGATTTATGTCTTAGTCAAAATATAAGTAATACCAGGTCATAGACTCTTGAGAGTGACTTGGAAAAACGAAAATCACAAAGGCTAAATGCAGCTAAGCCTCAAAATGAATACAGGGCCAGCACGGTGGTTAGCATGGGTAAATCCCACATGGCCGACTACATGTCCATTAAGTCCCAAACCTGATGGTTTTAAAAACATGCCAGGAGTGCATATGTGTGCTGCCCAAATCCCACGAAGAGAAAGGGGGAGGAGGAAGAGTCATCCCCTGGGGGGTGGGGGCGGTGGTACTTTCTCACTTTCTGCCTCTGGTGAGTACATGCACCCTTAAAGCAACATTAAAAAAACATATATACAAACATTACAACTAACTAGAACGAAAAGGATTCAGATCTTTGTACTGGTTTGCCCATGTATTATAAATTCAAACTCAACCCAATTACAAACTCTCAGAACTTTAGTTTATAAATGAGGAAAGTATCTCCTACCATCTCCAACTCTGAGGGGGTACCATGAGAACAATCTGAAAGAAGTTGTGAAAGCAGAAATAAAAATATTTGCAGAGCTCCTTTCAACTCTGTTCTAAGAGTCAGAAAATGCTCATCTGTTGGATCAGCTTGGAAAGTTCCGTGCAATGGTATCACCTGATGCTGACTCAGTGCTTGCATCTCAGGAATTAATCTCAAGAAGACAATCCAGGGCCAGCCTGAGGACTGGTAGTTATGTGAGCCAGACCCCACATGGCTGACCCTGTGGTTCGAGTCCCAGACTCGGTGACCTGAAAAACACACCAGACACATGTGCAGCTTATGTGCTCAAAATCCCTAACGGAGGGAGAAATGGAGAAGGGACTGTAGTGTGACCATTCCCCATGGAGGGGTGTTCTTTATCACTTTCTCTCTGTCAGCCAAGAATATGCACTCTCTGGCAAATTGAAAAAAAAAAAAAAAGAAACAAAAAACAAAATGAATCTGAAACAGAAAACATTTTTAAACATAAAGATTTTTATTATTATGTTACTTAATATGTTAGAAAAATACAAACTACCTAATGACCAACAACAGAAATCAACTACAAGATGGAAAAAAAAGCTACAGAATATTAAGAGGAGGTGGAGTAGTAGTTAATTTTAGATACACACTTATGTCGAAAAAAGGAGTGAAAGAGAACATGTCCCCTAAAAATACTTCTGGGATGGATGCGCGGCTGTGCACATAGCACAACTATCTACTATTTCTCTACTTTTCCAAGTGTTCTACATTTTCTTTTTTAAAAAAAGTAGTATTAAACTGATGAATAATAATTGCACATACAGTTTTTCTTTTTGTCATAGAGTGTGTATGCTCGTCAGAGACAGAAGGAGACGGAAAGTGAGAAATCACTCCCTGAGGGGATGGCCATGCCACATTCCCTCCTCCATACTCCCTATGGAATTTTGGGCACACACACACACGCAGCGTGATTTTTAAGCCATTGTGTCTGAGGCTTGAACTGCAGTTGCCAGGTGGGAGACCAGCACCTAAACCACCATGCCACCTGCTGGCCCCTGTACATATGAAGTGCTATGTAAAAGAAATGTATCACTGGAACAATTATGTCCCAAATACATAGGCAATAATTTTACGTTATTTTGTTTATTTGCTTTAGTTTGCTATAGGGCATGTACACTCACTGGAGAGACACAGAGAAAAAGAGAAAGAGAGGGGAGTGAGAGAGAGAGAGAGAGAGAGAGAGAGAACGTGAGAAATCACCCCCAAGAGGGGATGACCACACCACAATCCCTTCTCCTCCATTCTCCTCTCGGGATTTTGAGCATGCATGCACGTACACGAGCCCAGAATGTCTTTAAAGCCGCCACGTCTGACACTTAACTGCACAGCTGGCCATGTGGGATCCAGTTGCCTTAACCACCACGCTGCCAGGCTGGCCTGGTAGTCATTTTATTATACATAGAACTCCCCAAAGAGAGAGAATCAAGATGCAGCAAAGTGATTGTCTTACCTGAAATCGCCCCATCTTAACAACGCCAGCTCCTGAACTAGCTGCTAGGGCAGTGCCTTCTGCGCCTCGAGGAAATGAAACAAACACATGGGGAAAACGAATTAGCATGTCTTTTTGGTTAGTTTCTCTTCCCATTACCAGAGACACAGCAAAATGAAATATGTATGAGTACTGTTATTAGAGGCAAGGAAAACCTCCCTAGCTCTTTTTCCCTTGTGGTTTCTTCGTCTAATGGGGGAAACAGTTACCATTTGCTTTACTACTAGACAACTTGTACTTTGAAAGATTATACTGTTAAAAACTGTTAAGGTTTAAAATTTATAATTA